CTGCTGAAGGTCACCATCTGTGAATGACATTAAATGTCATGGCGCCCACAGTGATGATGCAGTTGTAGCATCTAATGCATTTGTTTGAAGACCATTTCTTCCATTTTATAAAATGGATATGGAAAGCAATGCCCACTATTTCACTTCATATTCCCCCTACAGGACTCATGCACTGAAGTACTTTTCTCATTTTGTGGTGGAAAGACACAACATATTTGAAAGTTTGTGGTGCCTCATTTTACCAGTTAATAAAAAGTATGTACTCCATCACATTTTTCTCCTACCTTTGAACATAAAAGTTTACCCTGTGTTTCTTGCTAGATAACCATGGACCATTTTTCCTCTGTTTTCTTTAGTGCTTTTGATCTTTTATTTTTATTTCATGGCCTAACTATATTTTATTTTAGGTCTTCTCGAATAGATTCTGGAAATAAGCAGTGTAAGTATATGAGAAACAGTTTGTGCATTAGAGCTTGATTTTTCTTCTGCCCCAGAGCTTGATAGTTTAGGATGGTCTACCCGAAGGTGACATGAAAAACGGGAGAAGATGTTTGCTAATCCCACTCCGTGATAGAGACACAAAACACGTGATATTCAAACACACTGAGACTCCACAGAATAAGGTGAATCTTCCATTCCCAACATCATCCCTCACAAAACAGGGGTTGCCTTATGTTTCAGTCTGGGGCAACCTCTCATATTAAAAGAGCTTCTTCCAATATTCTACTTTGATGAAACAGTACTACTTGGCAAGATATCAGCCTGAAATAAACTCAATTTCTGCTAGTTTTAGAGATAACACTGGTAAAAGACAATAAAGAAGTTTACTATTAGGTTTGGTAAATAGTACTTGGAACTAAAGTCTCTATACTTTATGCTTACATTGCATAAATATATGACTGCATAAATGAAATAAATAGTTTTCTTTTATTTCATAAATAGGCAATTGTCTCTTCCAATAAAATATCCAGTGACATCATCATAAGGAGATCCCAAAACAGACACTCCAATCCTGTGATGACTCAGAAATTTGCTCTGGAGTAGATGCATGTTGAGGCCCTGAACAAAATTTTGGATGAAATGTGAGGGCACAAAAAACAGATCTCTCAACTCATATTATAAAAAAAGATACACTTTTTAATTTGTGGGTATAACCCAATAAAGGTATAAAATATTATAAATGAATATTTCATTTTGCATCTATGTCATTGTAAGTTTGTATGATCGAGTTGCAAATCCCCCCCTCTTTTTACATCCAAGTATTTGTACTGAAAAATTAAAGATCATCTTATACTCAGGTTGGCAATATTTGAAGTAATGCTTATTACATTCTAATCATTTTTACAATGATTTGAACGGTGAGTCTTAGAAATTAAAAGTATTCTGGAAATCTGACCATTTGTTTTAAGTGTCCTATAGACTAGATTGTAACTAATACATTTTTTCTGTACTCCTGATTCTATGCAGAACTGCAGTGGGTGGTAATTGGAATTCTGAAGAATTGGCTTTTTTCTTATTACTGACCATGTCCCAACCTATACGGAGCTAATTCCATATTTAATTTCATTTAGTTCTAACCACATCCACTTGAAATAGTTGTTACGTTGACAGAACGAATGAATGGAAATATAGCAAATGTTAACAGTAATAAGTGTTGCTATGAGATTTCAATTTTTTCTTTATTTTTTCTCTTTTCCAATTTTTTTCATTTTAGACATGTATTCTTTTTATAATTTTAAGAAAGCAATGACCAGTGAAACAAAATTTATTGGTTGAAGGATAATTATACACAACATGACAGATTCAGATTCAAAGTTCACATTTTTGTCTGCACCACTCTCTCCTAAAAACATATTTTTAGGACCTCATGAATTATAACTGTGTCACTATTTTTTAATTGGATTGATGCAATTACACCGAGTAGATAGTCAGTTGGAAAAAAGAGGACCGGAAATTTCTTTTTCAGTTTATGAATTTATTCATGCCTGTGATCAAAACCACTAAGGAAACCATAATATATCATTTTTTCTTCATTTTTCCAATGCTTTTACCAGCATTGTGAAAATTCTTTGAAAACTTTTTTGACTAGATGCTGCAGGCTCAAAAAATCCCTGTGAGATGTTCTCCCTCATCCAGGAAAAAAATTCCTCTCTAAGGCTAATGAAGAATGAATACATTTACTAGCCTGAATTTAGAAAGAAACAAACCCAGCGTAAGACATTCCTGATTATGTCTGCACAGGTAAATGTGTTGGTACCGGATAAGAATCACCTTCCGACAAAATGACAAGTTTATCAAGTTTTTGCTCATTCTTTCCTACTGGTTACTTTGGAATCAAATAAGCAATACAAATATCTTTACACATATTCAGCACAGAAATCCCACAGGGACCTAACATCCCCACCCCTCAGGGACCCCCAGTTGCTCTAGCAAGTTAGCTCCTTGTCAATGTCGCCCACGCAAGCTCAGGCGGCAACTACCCCCAAGGACTGGGACACAGTCACCTACCTCTCCAAGGATCCTGCTGCCATTTGTGACCAAACTGGGGGTGAATCTGAGAATGCTGAGCTGGCACCAGAACCTAGCCTGCTGCCCCTGCATCGCCCGCCTCCCCTCCCTACGTTATACGGAAGAATGAAAGAATATTTACCTGTAATCCAGATCTCAGGTTTGGGAGGAGGATTTTTTTTTTTGTAGATCCCCCATCCGTAATAGCCCACTGTCTGAAAACCTTTTACAGAAATCTCCCTTTGTGCCTCTTTTAAAATCTCGCCTATATTTTTTACTATTTAAACACATAAAAATTGGTCCTGCTAATATTAACAAAGATGAATCACAAGCAAAATCACATTAGATATGAACCCAGCAAGAATGGATGGACTGACCCCTCTCTGTCTTTCCATCTTATTCATCCACCACAGAGAATATGATTTTACCTTTTCTCAACATTTTGCTGAGTCTTCTAAATCTCTTTTCATAAGGTTTTCATGTATCAGATCAGCTCTTTTCCTAGAGTGTAATTTACAGGTACTACCTCTATAATTTTCAAAGAGGAACAAAAATAGAAATAATATATTTGAATATATAATGAATGAATGTTCAATTTTTTAACACGTTGGTTTTCTTGTTTGTTTGTTTCTATGTATTGAGGGGTAGGGACCTGGTTTGACTGTAAAGCAGTTCTTTCCAGAATCCCATTCCCACGATAGTAGCCAGATGAACTGTTACAGAGTCTGAAATCTTAATTATGGTCACTTAACTAATTTGTTGCTGAAAGACTGTTCCTTTGAACTTGAAATTACCCTAAGAGTTTCCAGGGCACTGATGTAAAGTCCTGAGCTGCTCATCAGAGGATCCTGTCTGGTCTGGTCTTTCTGCCGCTGTCCCGGCCTGAGCGGAAAAGCAGCTGTGGGTCATGCGGCCGAGTCCTGCATGTAGGCCACCTGCTCCAGCTGTCCTGCCGGAGTCAGTGTTTCCGGCGCACTTGATGCCGATGCGGAAAGAAGACTGAATGCGATGGTGTGGAAAGGACTTGTCATTTTATAGCAATACCCTAAGAATCACATTTTGAAAATCTAACGAACGTGTATTCAACATGACTTACTGGATCTTTGGTGGGGGCTGGGGGGTGGGGCGGGGAAGAGAGACAATTTTAGAGCCATGATAGAAGCAGAAACACTGTTTTCTGTGTGAAGAGTAATACAAATTATGAGCTATTACTAGTTAAGCGCTTGACTAAAGAGTCAATTTATGAGGTCAGGCTCAGAAGAGTAAATAATCAGAAATAAAAATACAGCTTGCTGTTTCTAATAGCACGTAACGGTCTAAACCATGCTCTTCAGCATGGACAAGTGTCTATTGGGTCCCAAACTTTGCCACAGTAACTTGCCATGTGACTTTAGGCAAATAACAACTTCTTTGAGCTTCAAGTCTTTCATCTGTGAAACTGGAATAAGGACCTCCTGTATAGGACTGCTGAGGACTGAGATAAGGCACTGAAACCAGTCAGTGTGGTTATCTGGCTCTCAATAAATATTAGCTAATATGATTATTCTCTTTAATGGGATAATTTTTGGCTCGTCTATCCCAATTTTCCGCTAAACGACACATGTGGATTTTATAAGCAATAAGTATTACATAAAATAAGAAAGGAAAAGAGCCGATGAACCCAAGACAGTCTGTATCTCTGTCAGCCACAAGCCAAAAAACTTGGGGCCCAGTCAAGCCACAATCTAGAATGCTTATCCACTAGGCTACCAGCTTTTTGAGTGTTGGGACCGTGTCGGGAGCCCCTTTGACCTCAAGCATCCAGCATAGACACTGTCTTCAGTGAATGTTTGCTGAGGCAATGGAAACAAACAAGGATATAAACCATGCAGACAGACTCCTGATGGACTCTGGAGCTGAAGTGGTTTACTGAGCTCACAAATGCCTTTAAACTGGATCATCTCTAGGCAATATCACAAGAGTCACAATGGGACAAATTTTGACTAGTCGCAGCCTACTTCCTCAGAAGCTAGAGTATTAAGATGAAGTGGCATTATTGATGTTCTACAGTCATTTACTGTAGAAGTGAAATTGTTTGTACTTGGTTAAAGATGAGATCAAAAGCAATCATATAGGTTTTCCAGGTTATTAGAGAAAGGGGCACTCTTAATACTAGAGATACTTAAAGCGTTTCTCACTTAAAAGACCATCTACAAGAGAAACAGCACGAACCAATAACTTACAACAATGGTTCACAGACACGGTCCTACAGATGTTTGAATTTCAAATATGAGTCTATTATTTTCTGTGTGTGTTTACTAAAAGTAGAATTTCAATCTGCCTCCAACTGGTTAAGTGAATAAACCATTTTCAAAGTGGTTTTGTTTCCATACAAAGTGATCTGGAGCTGGAATACTGCTGTCCATATGCTGGGATGATCCCATATTGTTTTCTTCTGAAAAGCATCAATAAGTTTTTCATTCACAAGATCAAAATAGAACAAAGTTACTTACCAGTGGGAGTTACTATGAGCTTACTTCATTCTACAAATATCTTGATCCAGCCTGGTCAGACGTTCTACAAAACTTTCAGCTAAGCTTCACGGCACGACCAGCTTAAAAACTTTGTCCTGGCAATTTGATCTTCTGAGTTCTCTTGGAAGCCCTTGAATTATAGTCTTCATGGCATATGATATTTTATGTTTTCCTTAGATTAATTTAGAAAAATATCTGTTTTCCATGGAAGTAGTAATCACAGAAAAATGCTGATGGAAAATGGAAATGATAAGAGAAAAAAAAAGGAAAGAAGGAAGGAAGGAAAGACAGAAAGACAGACAGGAAAAGAAGGAAGGAAAAGAAAGAAAGAAAAAGAAAGAAAAAGAAAGAAAGAAAGAAAGAAAGAAAGAAAGAAAGAAAGAAAGAAAGAAAGAAAGAAAGGAGACAGGGAGGAAGAAAGAAGAGAGAAAGAAGAAAAGAAAAAAAGAAGAAGAGATCAGGGCCAAGTGGTCAACCAATGACTTTTCTAAATTACCAGGAAAAGTGTTCAGAGAATTAAGAGGTTTTGATTTCCAGGTGTTCAAGTGTGTGAAACCTCTCAGAGACCACATCAAAGGAAAAGCCCTTCTGTTCTCACAACCACCAGGTCTGCTCCGTTGCAATTTGGGATTGTATTTCTGAAAGAGGATACACTTCAGTAACTGAAAATGCAAACATGCCAACCAACAGACATATACTTGAGAAATGTGAACGATGGTCTCCATGTTTTAGCAGCCACTTTTACTATTTACAACATGAGTCTTTACCAGGCAATGCAAAATGAGAAAATAATTTCTGAGATGACACTATTTTCCTGGAGTAAAAGAAGAAACTTGTAGAATTCTATCTCTCATGGAAAAAATAGCTCCTTATTAAAACAAAGGCGCCTGGGTGGCTCAGTCGGTTAAATGCCTGACTTCAGCTCAGGTTATGATCTCGAGGTTTGTGAATTCAAGCCTCACATCGGGCTGCACACTGACAGTGCAGAGCCTGCTTGGGATTCTCTATCTCTCCTTCTCTCTCTCTCTCCCTCTGCCCCTTCCCCACTTATGCTTTCTCTCTCTTTCTCAAAATAAAGAAATAAACTTAAGAAATACAATCTATTACGAAAACAAACCCAGTTCTCTGACATGTTGAAAGAAGAAGCATCTTGGAGGCTGTTCTACGATATTTACATATGCACACGTAGCCCCACCTCTGTGGTTAACGGGCTTTGGGTAAGCTTTTGCCATCTCTGGGCTCCCGTATCTCCATTGGTTGTGCAGGCATTGGGCTCTGTATGTCCAAGGGCCCTTCCTGTTCCAACAGCTTATGACCCTGTGATTAAGAGCAGGTTGCTCAAGTGAGAAAGGAGTTGAGGGTTAGTAATGGAGAAGGTTTTCGTACAGGTTCCTTCTGCCTTTGTGACATCGTGGGATCCCAGCAGGGATAATAGCAGGAGGCTTCATCAGGCCTGACGACTTACTGATTATCAGGTAGAAGACTCCTTTGTCTGTGTCCAAGTTGGAAATACGTAGTCTTCCACGTAATAGTGGCTGAGCCACATAGGATTTATTTCAGGAGCTCCCCTTATTTTAGGGGGTAGCAATGCACAATGATCTTCTCAAGGGAAGCTCCAGACAGCTTGCAACATATGTGCAATATCTGATATTGCATTAAAGAGAGTTGATCCTGAGGGATTCTCATCTTGGTGTCTCCATTTGAAAAGCAAGGGAGTGGAATCAGAGGCACGTGAGCAAGTTAGCAGTGAAAGTTTCATAAAAACAGTGAAAACGCAAGAAAGGACGATAGTCAACCTACAAATGAAGTGAAAGACATGTGTAAATCCATGAGATGGCATTGCCAGATTTTTCTCCAAGAGCGGGGCATGAATCAGGACTGAGGAGGCAAGGATGTGGGAGGCAAGGTTGGCTTTAGAAGCAAGGAAAGATCTTCTCAGTAAGATCCTTCTCACTGTTATTTTATTATGTTCCCAGTATAAAGAACGATCAGATCCCAGAACCTCACTAAAGCACCCATGTTATAATAATTCAATGTTATCTTCTACATGGAAACAATAAACTCAAAATTTTCCTCTAAGTTTTGCTTCAAACACAACTATCCTTGAACTCTTTTTCACTCCCTGAGTTATAGATTTTTCGCTGTATTTGTGAGATTGTGCGAGCCATATGGTTATCATGAGAAATGGAAGAAAAGTCTTGTTACTGTACAATAACAACTGACATAATAACCCCACAACTTTATGCAAAATTTTGTACATTTTCTAGATCAGTGGTTTGTAGAATGTTAACAAAGCTTGGTGAAATTTTTTTAAATGTTTATTTTCTTGAGAGAGAGTTGGGGGGATAGATAATGAACTGGGTAAGGGCAGAGGGAGAGGGGAACGGAGAATCTGAAGACGGCTCTGTGCTTGCAGTAGAGAGCGTGAAGAAAGGCTCCATCTTGTGATCCCTGAGATCATGACCTGAGCCAAAGTCAGACGCTTAAGCGACTGAGCCACCCAGACATCCCAAACTTGGTGAAATCTAACAATTACTATAGTTATTGCTTTAGATGCCATGACGCTACTATAGTCTGCTGTGAATGAAGAACAATCTTGGAGGAAATACATATTTTGGTTTATTACCCTTGACTCTTTTCCTATGCACAATTGTTAGTTGTTTTTAGAATTAGAGCAACACTTTACTGTTGTTTGGAGGATGATGTCAGATGTGACTTTCATTTATTTTTTTTTAATTTTTTAAAAGTTTTTTCTTTTTTAATGTTTATTTATTTTTGACAGAGAGAGACAGAGCATGAGCGGGGGAGGGGCAGAGAGAGAGGGAGACACAGAATTCGAAGCAGGCTCCAGGCCCTGAGCTCTCAGCACAGAGCCTGATGCAGGGCTTGAACTCACAAACTGTGAGATCATGACCTGAGCCGAAGTCGGACACTCAACCGATTGAGATACCCAGGCACCCCAAGATGTGACTTTTAAAGAGTCCCTGAGCTCCTGTGTTAGCTGAGATGGCTCAGGGAAGCCATTCAGTTGTAATGGGAACTGACACTGTGATGTGCTGACCCTGTGCTCGCACTGTCCTGTGTGGAACCTCCTTCGGTCCCCAGCAACCCTATGAGAAAGATCTAGTAACGTTCCTGGATCGTGCTGTCAGTTAAGTGGCTGAGCAGGAATTCAAATCCAGGTTTTTATCACTCCAAAGGCCTTATGGGGGCCCCTGGGTGGCTCAGTTGGTTAAGCATCTGACTTCAGCTCAGGTCATGATCTCGAGGTTCATGAGTTCGAGCCCTGCATCAGGCTCTGTGCTGACAGCTAGGAGCCTGGAGTGTGCTTTGGGTCCTGTGTCTCCTTCTCTCTCTGTCCTTCCCCTGCTCATGCTATCTCTCTCTCTCTCTCTCTCTCTCTCTCTCTCATTCTCAAACAAACAAAGAAAACAACAAAGGCCTTGTGGTTTTCATCGTTCTCCTATTCATTCATTCATTCATTCATTCATTATTCATTCAAAGCCAGCAAACCATTTTGCACACTGGACATGGCTTCCTTCCCAGGAAGCTTCTCATCAATGGAGAAGTAGAAAATTCAGGACACTTACAAAAGCCATTCAGTCCCCAACAGTGATAAGAATCGAGTGACCTAACTGAAAGAAACATCACAGATTGCGTCCTTGGGCTCCTAGCTCAGACCTTGCTGAGGACACAGATGCAGGAGACAAGTCCTGTATAGACAGTGGCCAGGTCCTTGGGAGCTAGAAAGGCGTGGGTATATGTTTTCAGGGTTGTGGCATAGTGGGAGGGCTTCTGTTCAGTGTCAGTGGCACATTTCCATACAGTGGATCCCAGCAGGTGCAGTCATACAGCCCAGCACCTGACTCATTAACTCGGTGTATCCTCAGGCTCTCTGGCAAATCCCTCTGTCCTTTCCTGGCTTCATTTCCTTTCTTCACTAACACTTTGTCTGTGGTCACATATGCATTTGAAGAAATACATAGAATTTGGTTTAGAGGCTGGTCTGGCCTCTGTCAATAAGAGTATATATTTACATTCTTCCTTAAGACACCTGTTTTTATTTGCCATACTAAAAATGCTGTGTTTCCTTTTTTCTTGGTAATGGATGGTATGCGTCGTGTTATTAAAATGTCTGCATTTGTATCTGAAAAAAAAAAAAACCCAAAAGCAACAATTAGTGAAATTTTGACACTCATTAAAATAGTACACATTTGGGGCGCCTGGGTGGCGCAGTCGGTTAAGCGTCCGACTTCAGCCAGGTCACGATCTCGCGGTCCATGAGTTCGAGCCCCGCGTCGGGCTCTGGGCTGATGGCTCAGAGCCTGGAGCCTGTTTCCGATTCTGTGTCTCCCTCTCTCTCTGCCCCTCCCCCGTTCATGCTCTGTCTCTCTCTGTCCCAAAAATAAATAAAAAACGTTGAAAAAAAAATTAAAAAAAAAAAATAAAATAGTACACATTTGTTCTCCATTAATGAAAAGCTTGGGGTGTGAGGTTCATACTTTCTTCCTGAAGAATTCAAGCTCATGGTGGAATTTGTCAATTTAGTTTGAATGACCATGTGGGCAGCCTCTGCCCACATGGGCGACTAGATTGTCGATGCTTAATATCACCTTTCTTCACTGAATGAAATGTCCCGTGGGTAGAGCCACTCACAGCTGCCAAGGGAGGCCACCAGGACCAGCCGGGACAGGAGCCACATTCTGCCAGCACTTGTCAGGAGAGGTGGTTGAATACGGGGCTGATCACAGCACAGATCTGGTGGCTGTTGCCATAAGAGGAAGGGGCGCTCTGAGCACACAGCTAAGAACCAGAGGAAGAGACCCACAGTATTTACCCCAAATCATCCTGCAAAATAGGGCTGGTAACTCACTTCATCAGCAGATTTCTCTCATTACTGTGTGATTGTCACTATCCAATGATATAACTCTAAGGAAGCCATTTTCCTGTTAAAAGACTGAAATCCTTTACTGGTTTAGAACAGAGAGGGAGGGGCACCTGGGTGGCTCAGTGGGTTAAGCGTCTGACTTTGGCTCAGGTCATGATTTCACAGTTCATGAGTTCGAGCCCCGCATCGGGTTCTGTGCTGACAGCTCAGAGCCTGGAGCCCGCTTTGGATTCTGTCTCCCTCTTTCTCTCTGCCCCTCCCCCACTCATGTTTTCTCTCTCTCTCTCTCTCTCTCAAAAATAAATAAAACATTAAAAAATATAGTAATTTGCAGCAGAAGTTATATGTCTGGATGCAGCAGAGGATCTATGTCTGGAACCTATGTTCTTAAGTAGGATACTTTTTCTCTTCCATTTAAACTTATTATAACATAGTATGTATGTGTAACATACATGTTACATACCACTCTGTAATAATAATGTGCCTACATGTAT